ATGTAGTAAGGGGAAGTCGATATAAAATTTTACAACTGATCCTTAAAGGCAAAATAGAGAGCCGTAGAGGTGTAGGAAGGAAACGGGTTTCTTGGTTGAGGAACATTCGTAAATGGATTCGGATATCAAATGCGGGACAATTATTCTAGATTGCAAAAGATCCAGAAGCCATCGCAATGGTGATCGCCAACGTCGAATAATTCTGATATGGCACGCGAAGAAGATAGAATCTGCCCCTAAAACTGGGTTACAACAAAGTTTGTGTACAATGCGTTCCTCGTCTTTTGTCAGAGGACAAAAAAAGCTTTAGAATGGGTTTATCTTTGCAACATCTCACCGTATACTCGCTAAACGGTAATGACTTTCTTTCGTCAATATTTGCTGGCGACGAATCTTGATGTCATTATTCTGAACCATCGAGTATGCTGTCTACTGACCCTATCTGTCTGTGCAAGTATAATAGACCCACTGCACCAAATCTGGAATCCGACACATATACCTGATGAATGGCGTCTGGAATACTCAATGGAATCTAAGAACTACCGAGGCATTAAAAAAATTGTTCGCTGTTAGCTGATTATATCGATTTTCGTCATTTACTAATAACTGCCTATCGATTTTAAAATTTATCCAATATGCACAAGATAATAACTTAAATAATTTATTGGAAACCGTTTCTTATTAGGCAAATTTTAATACTGAAAATGTCAAACTTGTTTCATTTTTACCTATTATCATTTAATGAGATGCTAGTTCGGCTTCGGCACGCAAAGTTGAATTAAGAGATAGTGCAACACTGTAGTGTTAACTAAATTTGCTTTACATTGTTTCTTTATTCACCATTAAGAGCCAATGGTGAATTCTGTTAAAAACTGTTGGTAATAAACGCATGTAACGCTAATCATGTTTAAGTTTGTACATTTTTTTCTTACCTGTCTTAGGTAAAACCGGCTTCCCTTGGCTCTCTATACTCTCGATTAGCGACTTCACGGACTGTCTACTGTTTTGTCTGCTCAATACAATATTCTTTCTTCTCAATGCCACCTCTTCACCGGGAAAACTGGATGGTCTCAGAGGAACAGGCTCACTGGTTACTAAAATTTAACAAAATTGACTTATAACCTTATACAGTAAATATATTAATACTTTATTGTAATTGTACGCCTTTTTACATATAGCGATGAATAAACATAATACATACCAATTTTAATGTATATTCCTGGTCAGTATCGTAATGAGCATGCAGGTGAGTGATAATACTAGCGAAGAAACTTGATCTTGTATATTAGCTTAGTGAAGATAAATGACTAGTTTAACATAGCTCTATAAATATATGACATATTCCGAGAAAAGATGCACCTTGGCAGATTAAAAAATTCCACCACACAGGAACAATACCAAAAGTATAAATTAGTTACAGCTCATTGTCCATTTAAAAAACACTCATATTATTAAAAAATATAAACGAATTGTAGTCCTTACTAACACATATAACATTTTCACCATTTCAAAGTTTATCGTTCAGCACAGAAACCTCACAGCGATACAGGGTTGTTGCACTGTATGGTATATTGGTTATAGCTACATTGGCATGGCAATGCTACTCAACAAGTTATTTGCTATATCAAGAAGCATACAACACAAAGTTATACGTACGTAACATATGTGTATTCGTCCACTACACTGTTTGATTATATAGGAATTGTACATAACTCTTTACTGTGTCAAGAAGATTACAATACAAAGTTATGTACGTATACATATACATAGACAAATAATACAAGATAGACTGACTGTTACAATACAGTGCGACAAAAAAAACTGACGTAAAGTAGTCCCTGAATCTTTATCTAATGAACCAAATTTATCGACCAAGTGACCTTCTCATGGATCATTTAGGCCACCTGGTCCATAAACCTGGCAAATTAAATAACGACGCAGATACTGAATTTCGTCAATTTTTACTGTTGCACTGTAGGAACGCGACTGTATTGCAGCGCACAGTCTATTTGTATTATATGCATATACATAATAATGCAAAACAGAACGACCCTTGCAAGATCAGTCCGTTCCACCACTGTGACAAAGAAAACTGATAGAAAGCAGTCCTGCATCTCATTCAAATTTACCAGGTTTATCGACAACGTGACCCAAATTTCCAATGAGAAGGTCAGGTGGTCGATAAATCCGGCTCATTAAACAAAGATATAGGGATTGCTTTGCGTCAGTTTTCTCTGTCGCACTGGGGCTGGTAAGGCACCATTGATTTATACATCCAAAATCCAAATTATATAATTTAAAGGTTTTCTTGATAAGTTGTAGGTAATTGGGAATTCAATCCCCAATACAAACAAAGAATCCAAAAATATCTGTTCTCGGTAGATGATTGAAAATAATCGAGTAGTAATGTGTGTAAAATGCTCCTCTTTCTATCTAAAAAGTACCCTATAATGATACACATAAACGCAAGAAATGTGCAGAGAAGCAGCCTACACCTAAAACAGTACGGCACCACAAGAAAAGTTTACTCTCTTCCAATTGATATAATGTTCTCATCTATTTAAAGCTTACTTGCAGGCTTAAATTCTTTTTTTTTATTATTGATTTTTACGGGATCAACCACTTGATGATCAAAGTTTAGATGGCAACTTTCAAATATCGAAAATTAATCCATCTAACGGTCTAGTGTTAGGTATACCTATATTTTCACTATATTTCCTTTTAACAGTAGTATTATTTTGACATATAGACATACATAGCAAAACCTGCTATCCGTTGACTGCCTAGTCATTCACAGTTATATAATTCATAGTTATTGTAGTGCATTAAATTTGGAATGTTATTCTCTATATCTATCTCTATCATTCTTAAAATTGTATTAACATCTCTTAGAATCAGAATAAAGTAACTGATCTAAATTTAACATACTAAATGATTTTTTTATGTTAAAAATACGTAGAGTTATTTTTTAACTTACCTTCACGTGGGCACAACAGATCAAACAAGAAGTTTATAGCCAATACAGTATACAAAAATAATGTCAAAGCATAAAAAAACGTTTCAGCAGATCACTAAGTAGCTGTATTTTATAAATTGAATTTGCAACAGTTCATATTAGCAGATGTCTCGAGATGAGTTGCCAAATAAATTCAACTTTAGGAAATAAATAATCCAAAATATTAACAGTAATACTGAGCACAACAAAATCTTCAAAATGGATACAGAATGAAACACTTCACAAGCATCAAAGAATTTAGAAAGTATGCAACAAAAGGAAACAGTTAAAATTCGGATAAAATAGATATAGTGCCTGATAGTAAGGATTTAGAAACAAATTCCAATAACCCTAAATCTGGTGAATAAGGGGGATGTTCGAGTAATTAAAACTCTACGAATTTCTTTCATCGCAATATGCTATTTGTATGCAGCGGCATTGTTCTGCCAAAACAAAAATCCTTTGGACAATTTCCAAGTAGTTTATTCATATTTTTTCTTGTGGATCGCACAATTATCTCCAATAGTAACTCCTAGCTATTGCTCTACCCTTATACCGAAAATCAATAATGATTGTTGTTTGACGATCTAAAAAAACCGAAGCAAGAATTTTGCTACAGGTTTTTGAAATTTCTTAGGACTTTCATTTAAGACAATTCATTTAAGAATCAGAGTGTCTACATTGGATCGATTGGTGATTTGTTTCTGGGTCAAAGAAATGTATCCAAATTTTATCAATAGTAACAACAAGGCTTAAAAACTTGTGACAGATCGAGCGCTCCATTTTGTTGCCCTTTAATTTTTTCAAATATTATAGCGTACCTCTGGTTTGACATTTTGACATCAAACTTTACAGTGCTATTTGTAATAAATTATTCGTTATTTCTATGGTTACGCAATAATCTTCTTTATCTATGAAACCAGGCTAAAAGGATATCACAGATAATTATCATAATAAAATTAGGATTTAGATAAACAGAGAACTCAGAGAGAAAGACCAACTCCTCAAAGACACCATTTAAATAAAAATCAACAAAATTGAGGCTTCGAGAAAGACGAGGATAATGAACATTCTAAGCTAAGAGAAAAAGAAAAATAATAAGAGCATAGGAAATAGGAGATAAAAAATAGAACTGTAGACGAGAGCTAGGTAGAAACACTGCCTTTAATGACTACGGACAGAGAAAAAGAGATGGAAATAAAATGGAGGAAATAACAAAAAAAAGAATGGCAGAAATATAGCAACAGAGGGAAACGGATGAGAACAAAGTGTATCGAGGCAAAGACACACAGAGTGTGCGAGAAGGAAACTGAATCAGAGAAGGCAAGACAAAAACACAGAGATAGAGAGACTTCAATAGAAGGAGACGCGGACTTTAGAACACATAATGACAGCAAAGGGAAGAGCAAGATAGAGAGAAAGAGAGATATAGCGTGAGAAACGAAGAGTTCTAGAGGAAGAGAGGGAAAGAAATAGAGAGGAAGAGATATAGAGGAATATTGTAACAGAGAGCAACTGAGAAAAACTGACAAAAAAAATGTAATTGGCCTAGACATGGAACCGGTCTAGGCAAAAAGGATACCAACAGAGTGATTATTCAATAACAAAATTGGGATTCAGATGAACAGAGAGCTCAGAGAGAAACACGAGACACCAGTTAAATAAAAACAAACAAATTTGAAACTTCGAGGAAAACGAGGAAGATGAATATTCTAAACTAAGGTGAAAATGTACAAGACAGAATTGAATGGAATAGTGATAAAATGATTTGACTGAAAAATAACACCATGTGTCACAAACGAAAACTATAGAACATATGATACAAAAATTATTCTATTTATAAGGCTGTTTTCTGACATTCCATGACACTCTTTTAGATGGACTTACAATGTAAGTAAGAATTAAAATGAACGATGAACGATGAACACAAATTTAGTGGACAAACTACGTTACAAAATTTAGCCGCTACTTTAAGTTAATGCATCTTTAAAATAAAAGTACAATATTCCTTGAAGGAACTATAATATAATTTTGTTATTAAACTATAAAATATATTTCCATGCAAAACTGTACAAAAAATATCAATAAGCTTCACACATACAATGAAAAATAATTTGTATACTATATCTCTTTATTAATTTCTTCTGGTGATAATTCTTCTTTATTACTGGAATGGACGGCAGGCGACACTTCAGACTTTTCTGAATATGGAACGTTAACACTCGACCTCATAGTTTCAGAATCTTTCGAGGAATGCTTAGGCGAATTTTTTGCTTCTAGTTCTTGGAATATCTTTTTGGCCGCCGAGAAGGTACTAGGTTTGAGTTCTTTTGGGAGATCAATTTTACTTTTTGATTGGGTTGTACTGCTGAGAGGAATATTGCGTTTTGGGATATCCATTTTAGTTTTACTTTTAGACAAAATAGGGTTCAGATCAGTTGCAGATTTACTTTTTTCTTGACCGGTAGAACCTTCTGATTGAATCGGGTTCTCAGGAAATTTGTGTGGTTCAGATTCTATCAACTGGTCTTCATTTTTGTGTTTGACCTCTACATCATCTGCTTGTTTAATATCTGGTTTGTTAACCATGGATTTAGGGGCAGAATTTAACACGTGATAAACCTTCTCTCGTTCTAAAGTCTGATATTCGGGAATATTACTACTGTTCGGAAACATGTTTTGGGTTTGGTAATCCAGAGGAACAAAATCTACGATTTTTGGCTTAGATTGAGAATCTCCTAGCAAGAATTTGGGATCTTCATAGCTATCCGTGTCGCTTAGTTCTCCTAAGTAGGTTACATCATATCCGATCTTCTTGTTCATTTCCTGTGTGGTGGATCTGTAGAGACCAACATCAGTGCCGTCAATGCTGGCAGAGTCCATACCTTCCAAATTGAAGAGGTTTAACGTTGAAGCGTCGGATTCATGGATCGGATGTACGTGAGTTTCGGATGGTATTGTAAGATCCAATTTTTCTGCTGTACTGGTTACCGCTATTACAGAATATGATGATGAGGCCTATGAAAAAGAGAATATTTATGGTTATAATACATCAACAATATATAGGTAGGCAGAGAAATAAAAACGTAAAAAAAAAATTAATCCTACTCGATCATTCAGAAAGTAAAAGATTAAAGAACAAAAGGGACACCCATATAAACAGGTTTTAATAAAAACCGAAACTGAACCAACCCTAAATTACAACCTAAAAGGAAGGAGGAGTGTGGAAGAAGACAAGAAGACGATTTTTGAAATAATGACGAAAAATTGCAGAACTAACTGCTCAAAGCGCTTCAATTTCAAATTTTGTCACTATGCGCAGAGTAAAAAAAAATTCGTAGGAACAAAAAAAATAAAAAAACGATATATTTAATAACCTTTACCACGTAAAAGTTGGTAGCACACTTTAGACCAGGTCGGATCTGTGAAAAAACGACTAGATTTGGATGTGAGAGGTGGCATTCGAATTTTTACAGGAATAGTTAGGTGATAACAAGGTTCTAAGACTACTTTCTTGTGGCACTGTCAAGTTAAATATCACGTTTTTATGGGACTAAGCCACAAATATTGGTTGTGATTGTGATGAAAATCACATTCTTAATTAACTCATATAGTTTCGATTTCTACCTTCGGAAGATCGAAGGTAGGAGAGGAGCCGGCCGCAAACAATTATCCTGGTTAAGGAATATTAAAGAATGGACAGGAATACACAATACAGGCGAGCTGTGTCACGTAGCCAAGAACAGAAATCTGTGCAATAATGAGATAGTCGCCTACGCACTTTGATGTATGGCATGTTAAGAAGAAGAAGAAGTTTCGATTTCCACTCTGGAAATCGTTTTTAAGAAAGGTTTTTTTTCAAATTATTTAGAAATGCTAAAACAAATGACAAAGCATGAATCATTTAAGTTTTTCGTTAATAATAACGTAGTTTCTTATCAGTATACCATGCGATCCATATGTATGGAATAAATTCATTTTTATCGTTATTATGTGCTTTGTGAAAAAACCTAAAACAGGTCGATTTTTATTCTTAAATGGACAATTTACAGTATAAAAATATTATTCCCCTCCAGCACCCCCTTTGGATTATAAGCACCCTGTCGAAAATTTTAAATAACAAAGGGGGTCGTAAGACACCTTATTAGAAAGTGATTTTAGTCTTCTGTTCAGCAATATAAAGTTTTTTAAGTTCGGTGCAACCATAAATGAGAAAAATGATTGTTAAGATGTAAAATTTTGATAATGTCTCTATCACAAAATTTTTTAAAAGACGATAATAATGTCACATAATTTTTAGAATATATTTTTCAATGTACTTTACAATTAAATTAAATGTTCAAAATGACCACCATTCACTTTTTGACAATAACCGAGGCGATTTTGGAATTCTCGTACAACATTTTGTACAACCTCGGGGATTATTTTGTTAATTTCTTTCGTTAACCTAACTTTTAAATCAGCAATACTGTTTGGTCTATTAAAATATACTTCAGATTTTAAATAACCCCCTAAGAAGTAATTGAGAGGAGTCAAATCGGGGATCTACCTGGCCATTCGATCGTTCTACCCCCTTTCGGTCTTCCAATCCACCTATAGGTGGATTGGAACCACCAACCAAACCATAAACTGCGGCCTTAAAAAAACGACTATAATTTATAATAACGAATAATTTTATTGTTAATGATACCAGAACAAATGTTAACTTTTTTAGGATATTGCATGTGAGTCTCACACATCCAGTGAGGATTTTCTCTGCTCCAATATCTACAGTTCTATTTGTTAACCGTTCCGATTACATAAATGAAACTTCGCTTCATCAGAAAAAACTATTTTGTTTATAAAAGAAAAATCTGTGTTCATTCTGTCCATCATAATTTCATAGAATTCTTGAATTCTGTCAGGATCATCTTTATTTATCTTCTGAACCAACTGAACTTTGAAAAGTGGTATTTTTCTTTATGCAAAACTCTCAAAATAGATGATTTACTTACATCATTGACGGCGGCAAGTTCTCGAGTTGTCTTATGGCGGATTTTCCTAGATCTCTAGAAGTACATCTAACTTTTTTTATCAGGAAATTTAACAAAATTCTACCTGGTTTTTCAATATTTTTTAAATGTCCAGTATAACTAAACTTCTTTTTAATTTTGCTAACTGTACACGGCGACACTTGTTAACCAGGGTATTTGTAGGGGAAAGGATGAGGTAGCTGGTTCGATAAATTGAAAGTAAATAAGTATTTGAAAAATTATGATCTCACCTTCCTACATTTGGTAGATAAAAAATAAATTAAACCTCGAAGAAGCAGCGACCCATAGATCGCAAACTTGCGGATATGTAATTATGTAGTGAGTAGTAAAATAGAAAATGAAATAATTAAAATAAGAATAAAAGCTAGAAAGATTTTTATTACATTATTTACAAAAATAAATAAAAAAGCGGAATCGCCAACAAATCACCCTTTTTATAATAATAAAATATAAATGTTTATGTTCTTAAACGCACAACTGTTTATATGAAAATATAGAACAATAAAGTTTATATGTAGATTATTGAATATCCGGCAACCCTGTAATTTGTCGGACCGGCATTCATGAAAAGTAGGCACGAAACCGTAGATTATCTTCTGTATGAAAAAATTATTTCAGGTACTTACATATTTGATGCACAAACACTGAATTTAGTTTAATTAACTATTTAATAAAATAAGTTATTCAAAAACAGCTTCTATTTGAGAAGCGCGAGAACAGAACTATCTTGTTTCTATTTGAGAAACTGAAAAAATGAATTGACTTACGTCCTTCTATTTGAGAAGGCAGCAACGAAGTGATATTAAGGGTAGTTGATTTGAATAGATTAATGTAAAATTCTGACAGGCGCAGAAGATACGAAACAGCACGAAGAAGGGATGTCGTGCTGATCGTATAGACTTTAATTTAATTTAGAAGACAATTTAGTGGAATAATAATAATTATTAGAATAATAAATAAACTATTGTAGAAAATGTGAATAATTTTCTACAGTATTTATTATTAAACATTATACAAATCTCCTTCTGAGTTCTTGTTTTGTTACCACAACCAATCATAATTAAAATGTCTATTCTTTGAGTCTCGGAAAAATTAGCCATAATTAAATTTAATAATTGTATTATACGCACAAATACTATACGTCTTTTAGTAACTTTAAATACCTAAATTACAGCATCATACTAGATTCATATTAATCGTTTATTTGGCTTTTTGACTAATATTTTATTAACTTCAATAATGTTAAGAACAGATACGAAAATACCTGATTATTTCTAAAGTATATTTTAATAGACCAGGCAATATTGCTGATTTAAAAGTTATTATAATTGAAGAAATTAACAAAATAACCCCGAGGTCATAAAATGTACGAGAATTCCAAAGTTGCATCGGTAGTTTTCAAAAAGTGAATGGTGGTCATTTTGGACATTTAATTTAATTGTAAAGTAGATTGAAAAATACATTCTAAATTTTATGTGACATTATTATCGTCATTCAACCTAAAGTTTTGTGATAAAGACATTATCAAAATGTTACATCTTAAAAATCAATTTTCTCAGTTATGATTGGGCCAAACTTAAAAAACTTTATATTGCTGAACAGATGACTAAAATCCCTTTCTAACAAGGTGTCACACGACACCCTTTGTTATTTAAAATTTTCGAGGGGTGCTTATAATTCAAATGGGGTGCTGGTGGGGGATAATATTTTTATATTGTAAATTGTCAATTTAAGAATAAAAATCGACCTGTTTCAGGTTTTTTCACGTAGTACATAATAACGCTAATAATTCCATACATATGGACCGCATGGTATAGCCTGTATATGATTATTTGAGTCTCTCCTCTCTACCGTTTCTCTAACTAATTTAAGTTATCCAAAAATTCAATTTACCATAAAGTTGAGGTTTACATCAAATGTGTTTGATAAAAAAAAATAGAAATATTATTGTCAAAAAAAGAAAAAATTATTGACTGTAGAATAAAACTTCATCAAGAAAACAAGAAATAGTTTGAAGAATAAAATTTGGGAGAGAGTAAAATACGAATTTAAAATAAACAAATATTTTCACACAAGAAGAGTCGTAAATAAAATTAGATACTTACTTCACCGCTGTCTTCCAGTTGATCCTGTGGCTTTTCCATAGAAAGCCAGAGCTGTGCCTTCTCCACAGAACTCAACAGTTGCGGTTTTTCCGTAGTCTTCTCCAGATTCTGCGTTTCAACTTTTCCAACTTCCGCAGATTGTGCATTACCTTCATCTTTCGTAGAATCAATTATAACATTTGTTTCAATATGACTTTGAGATTCTTGTTTTTCTTGTGTACTATCTTCAGAAGAGTACTGGGTACTAATGGGAAGGCCTTGTACTTTTAAAACAGTCGCCACGGAACTCGCAACTTCCTCGATACATGGTCTTTCGCTTTCACTAAAATTTTTATGCTCCGACATATTTTTAATTACTTCATGACTGTCAGTTGAACGCGTGTCACTCAAACTGTCAAAATCTTTGCCGACATGATTTCTAGAACGAGGGACAGGTAAAGGTTTCTTCTCAATAGATTCAGAGTGTCGTGACATCATAAAATGTTGATTTTTTGAAATATTTATGTTTGCATAAATTGGTTCTTTCTTAGGTCTTTCTTTTGATAGACGCTCAAAGTGCTGTGCGAATGATTTGACACGTTTGTCGGTTAGATTATCTGATCTTGGTCTCGACCGTACTGTTTGTGAAACTTTGCTGCTCAAAACATCTCCGTCTTTTTCCAAACTTAAGCTTTTCACTTCTTTTCTATCGATATATTTATTTCTTAATAAAATGGTATGTCTTTCTGTTCTCTTTTCTAAAGTGCCCGATTCATTTATTACATTTTTGAACTGATTTGGCTCTAATACACCAGACGTTTCAGAGGCATATTTGACTTCGTAATTATATGATTCTCCGTCACCACTTTGTACAACATTTTGGGAAGTTGTTTGTACATTTTGATTAATTTCTTCATTTGTCTGGATCCTAGTACATATATTCGTATCTTCAATATTAATATCTTGGTCCATTTGATCACTTACTATCTGAGGCTTGTCAGAATCTAGAGAGTTCTTAGTAGCCTCAGTACTAATCAGGTCTACTTTAGCATTATTAGTACCGCTATCGGAAGAGATATCAACAACTATTCGAGATTTTTCAAAATCTGTTTTATCTTGAACTGTATCCTTAACTGCATTTACTTTCTCAATCACTTTAGGGGCATCAACCTCAACGGAAATCTTTTTATCGGGCGATGGAATATCCATTTTTATATTTTCGTCTATATTTTCTAAAGAAACAGTATGTATTCCGGTCTTATTCAACTTTTTCTTTGATGCGTTATTCCTTGAAATGCTAATGGTACCCAGTAAGGCTTCAAGGTCATCGGCTGCACTTGTCTTAGTTACTGGGAGAGCTTTTGGTTTACTTGGACTGATTTTATCTTCCTGACTAGGTGATAAATGCCGACTCCTTAAACCCGGCATCGGGTGTGTCTTTTCCTTATGTCCTTTCACCACCCTTGAAGTACTAATCGCACCTAGTAAAGATTCTAGATCATCAGCGGCCTTGGGATTACTAATTGGTACAGCCTTTGATTTGCTTGGACTGCCTTGGCTATGGTTATGTCCTGGTACGATTCGTGATGTGCCAATGGTACCAAGGAAAGCTTCAAGGTCATCAGCTGCGTCTGGCTTAGTTACTGGTAATGTTTTAGTCTTGGGCCGACTGATGTTATTGTCTTCGAGTAAATTGCTGGCGTCTGATTTGGAAATCAGCTTCACTTGATGATCTGTAGCAAGAGACCTTTCTTTTGACATAGTTTCAGAAGATAACGTGTACTTTACTTTATCATTATCATGATTGATATCAGAAATAAGCCGAGGAACTTTATCCTGTGTTGTCATTAATAATTCTTTGTCATCTTCAATTATTGCTGGACTTTGTTTAGCTGTATCTACATCTGTACTTGCCTTATGATTATCAATGCCTTTATTGGAAGTATTTACTGATTCATCATTTAAGTAAGTGAGTGACAAGGACTGAATCAGCTCCAAATCTTGATCATTGAGTCCAGATACTGGTCTGGAAAGCGTTTGCTTTTTAGCTCGACGTATAATGTTGAGTTCTTCATCGGTCAGCTCAAATTGATCTGTAGAATGAGGAAAATCTTCTCCTGAAAGTCCTATCTTAAAGTCTGGAATGGGTAAGATTTTGTTATCGATATCTTTACGCATTTCTCCATGTTGGTTATCGGCACTCTTTATATCCACAACTTCATTATGTGATAAAGATTCTTCATTACTTGTATTAGTTAAATCTGTAGATAAATTTGCTGTTTGAACATCATTCATTGTAAAGTTAGCCACCAAAGGTAGAACATACTTGATATCTGTATCAGTATATGTTGCTGATAAAGCTTTATTTTTGTTTTCAACTATGTCACCTACAACTACTTCGTTCGAGGATGCAGTGTCGTATGTTTTCGGATCAAAAGACTCTCTTTGAATTATGTTAATAATATCTGGAACATTTTCCACTAATTCAGCAAACTGTCCAACACTATCATGTGATATAGTTACAGATTGTACTCGATTTGTTACTTTTTCTGTAGTATCTTCAGCAACTATGTGTTCTGATGATGAATCTGATAAGTTTTTATTTAGTGCATTAGTTATAGGTTCTCCAATATTACTTTCTAATTCCGTATCAGAATTTTTTACGGTTTGGGCTTCTAGATTACTTGTTAACTTTTCTTTATCTTGTACAGTTTTTACATTAGTCAAACTATCATCTTTATCATGTTCATCAAACACATCACTAATTGCTTTGGAAAGCTGCCCTGATATTTCAATTGATTGTACTGTATTGTGATCTGTCACTGTGGCTATCTGCGCAGCATTCTCCTCAACTGCAATATTTCTTGTGCTGCTATCTTGAGCACATTCAACAAATTTATTATTTTCTTCTGAATCTTCGAACGCTACAATACGTTTAGCACTACCATCTTTAAGTTCAAAATAAGAATCGTCCGAGAATGTGAGTTCTTTTGGTGACAATTTAGAGTAGTCAAAAATTTCACTTTCATTGCTTTTATTGGCTTCTGGTGTCTGTAGTCCATGTGATGAAGAACAATGGTCTTCAGGTTCGTTATCTGCTATATTTTCAGACGAGTTGTATGATGTAGAAAGTAGGGAAATACGTTTTATTTCCAAGGTTTGTGGTTCTTCTAAATCTGCCTCGACAGGCTTTACAGTTGGCATTGGAGTAGCGATAGGCGCTTCTAATTGAAGTTTAGGATCTACTTGCGATTTACTTTCCGTCTGTTTGATAATCTGAGATACTCTAGTTTTAAGATAGTGTTCAAAAATGTGCTCCATTTCCCTGTCTATACTACTCTTACTACGCCTTATATGAACCTCTTCAGATACCGGTCTCGAACCATGGTCAGCTTCGTCAGAGCTCTTTTTATTATTTGAGAAGTCCTGTTCGTTAACAGAGAATCTGTTTTTAATTTCTTTCACAACATCTTTATAGCTCATCCGATAGTTCAAGGGTGAAGTAACTCCGAACCTATTTTCTTTCAGTATATCACGGTAATCGTAGGCAGGTGAGTGTGGTGATCCTCCGTCTAATATATCGTCAGACATTTGTTGTATTTCTGTGCTATTAAAATCTTCCGCTCTAGTTACAAAATCTGTAGTATTTTTAAATACATCAGATTTATCTCTCAGTAATACGCTTTCTTCTATATGACCAATATCGTCTTTATTTTTATCTAGTTCTTTCTCTGTCGATGTATCGATGAAATGTTTATCTTCTTGAATCAGTTTATGGATCGTATCAAATTTTTCAGTTATGTTCTTTATTGTTTCATCTGTATCACTTGTTGTTACTGTATCCATTCGATCCGCTTCATTTTCGCTGGATGATTTTCCTCTTTTAAAAGATCTTTTAAAGGTATCATTGTACTCTAGTGAATTATAAGTCTCAATCGGAGCAATATCAACAGTTTCGACTGTAGCAAAATGCAGAGGTGGGGGGTAAATGACATTATTATCTATTTTATGAGAGTTATCTGTAGAAGTTTCCGATTCTAACATATTTTTCTTGCTAGTTTGGTCTAATTTTTCGCGGTTGGTTAATTTCTTAATTTTATCTTGAAGCAGATCAACTTTCAAGTCGTCTTCCTTGATACCTTTTGGTTTCTTTTTGATGGTGTCATTATATACTAAAGAATCCAAGTCTGGTGATCTTTCCTTGGTCTTACGTTTGTCTACTTCTAATTCAGTCGTCGATATTGTACCAGGTTTATTTATTTCTTTGTCTGAAGATACTTTATGTATAGTAACAAGCACTTCAACACTGTTTGGACGAGGACTTCCTTTCTGCTCGACAGACGTTTGCTTAGAAAATGTGATAAACTCTACATTTCTTGGAGGTTTTGGTGTTGGTGGAGGTGGTTGCCAAGATCCAGAAAAAGACTCATACGGACCTACTTCACTGGTATCAACATTGAATTCAGCACTAGAAAACGTATCAGACGATGTTTCGCTGGGAGTGTTATACATGTTCACTGTTCGTCGTTTTTCGTCGAATGTAAACATAATATTGTCGTAGCTTTTATATGGACGTAGAGTCTCTTCTACGTTTGGAGTAAAAGCATAACCTTCTGACTTTCTTCTCACCTCCTTTATATCTGGATCATAAATAATCTCTTTCAACTTAGGGTTTCTAAGGACGGATTCTTCTGTTGGTTTGCTGATAGGTAGACCCTTGGCTTTATCGTTCTTTTTCAACGTGTTCTTTCTTTCTTCTAACGCAGACAGTAATTTTAAAGCAAATCTTTGTTCGTTGCTCAATTTACTTTCTGGTACATTTTTAGGAATTGTCTTGACAATTCTTTCTAAAGTTGAGTACTTAACGTTTTGATTGAATATGTTTTCTGGGATACTTTCTTTTACTACAAGAGAAAAATCTGAGTATCTTTTATTGAAGTTTGAAGCTGAATCGCTCGGTACCAAGCTTGATACTCGGTGTTCAATAGTAGGACTATTTTCTTCGGTTAGATCTTCAGTTTCCACTGTCCTATACAATCTTAAATTTTTGTTAAAGTTTTCCATCTCATGTACTTGATTCATACTCATACTCCTTCCAATAAGAGAAATTCTTTTTTCCGATCTGGTATAATCCTCGCTCTTGCCTCTCGCGGCTCTATCTATGTCTCTAATAATATGTCTGATTTCTGGGGCTTCCTTCTCAAACGACGCCATATCTTCTACGGTCTTTACTTTTGGATTTTTCAAGATTGCCATTAACTTAGGATTTGTCAGAACTGAATCAAGTAGTGGTTTACTAATTGCTAGCTGGTTTTTTGGTTTAGGTGCCACGGGTTTAACCTTTAAGTAGTCATCTTCGTATATAATTTTTAGTTTTCTTATCACTTTCTGTTCCTCTGTGAGAAACTCATCTGGTATTGTTTTGTCTATATCGGCATGGTAACTGTTGAGTGATTTCAGCAACATTTCTTCTTCCACCGACAGTGTCTTAAATCGTTTCGCCTTTAACGATCTATTTTCTCTCCTTCGAACAGTATTAGCTTGGGACGGTGGAGGCGTTGTTTTATCTGACTTTGAGCTGGAAGAAGCATTTCCAGAATTCTGTCGCTGCCGATCTCGGCGCCTATTAGGCCGCTTTATAAGCAGATCCATTTCTAAGTTGTCTTTGTTGGTTGAATCTAACGTTCCACCTATTTTAGGAATAAAATACAGAAAAGTAAAGTCTTTTCAATGTTTTCTACCGCGCACAAACACAGAAAGCAGTATTGGAGACAGTTTTAAGGCACAAGAAGGTTGTTTAAGCACATACACTAACGCACAGTCACTCACACTGATATCACTGTTCGATAAATGCACTGTTTTAGTCTAGAAGTGATGGCGTAACGTTAAATACATAAACTGTTGTCTAGGCGTACAATTACAAATAAGCTATAAATGTGGAATCATACAAACAATATATATCAATATAAAAATGGTGTTGTGGCTGTTAAAGTGATTAATCTATGTTTTAATGATACGAATTTTTGCGATTTGTTTTCTAAAATAAACCAAGATATTATTTTCTCAACTATTGATTAGTCATCAGCTTTTCTTTATGTATCAATTAACCTTCATAAGATCAGATAAGGTACAAAACTACAGCGTAATTGTTAAATGTTTTTAACGCCATTTGTAAAAATTGTCTACTTTATATGGTCTCAAAAATATTTTCTTGTCGTAGTTCTATTATCTACTTTATTTAATGGCAATTAACTCACAATTAATGTTTTTCGGTCGATCTTAACTGATACCGACTTAACCACAACCTCTGTACTACAGACTAATTTTTGTAGTAATATACATTAGCTTGTTTAATGACTCCTTTCCCATTAAAAGCAATATACGATACTCACCCTTTAGTTTGTCTATTTCAGCTTTTAGTTGTCTTTCTCTGTCTCTATATTGTTTATTTTCCAAGATCATACGCTGCAATTCTTGTTGAGCTTCAGTTTTGAAATCATTCGCAACTCTAACTGAAGTCAGAAGGTCGTCTTGGAATTTCTCCCACTCTTCATTCTGGAAAAAAAAAAGATGAAATAAATACATGATCTTTAGACAAGTAAAGTGTGTGAGAAAGGAAAAATTATGAGAATACACAGTAGCCTAAAGTAAAAGTAGTAGTTCCATTCTGTTGTTACTACATATATTGTCTGACTAGATGACACACACTTGTCTATAGTTCTGGTCTAATTTGTTTTTGTTAGAGACTGGTCTGTGTTTTACTCTTATATATTCGAAAGGGCAAGTTTTACGTTCGGTTTCATACTTCACTACCAAATGACATTGCTAAATCTGAATCCATCATCAATTTTTATGTATATGTTTTACTTTTGACTGCAACTCTCAAGCGAAGGCATATAATATTAAAAGCGCGAAAACTTTGAAGCGCGTTTAAATTTTTATTTTGATTCAACAAAAATCCACAACATTTAACAGAATACGAAACTCTTTGGACATATCATAGAGAAATATGGGATGTCAATATTACAAAACTAAGCTCTACTCTATTATAGGTTCCATCTAGTATCAAAAGAGAAGTAGCTAGAGATGTAAAACGAAATAAACGAACTCTAGATTCGCGACGTCCACTCCACGATTAACAGGCTACCGCATGAAGACTCAAATCGAGGAAAAGCTTTTTCGCCAGATCAACACATTTGTAAGATACACCAAAAAAAACTAGTCTTGTCCAATGATAAGAAGCTGTTATACAAAGATAAGTTTTATACTAACATAACATTAGCACATAGGTTGCTAAACAAAAATACAAATTGGTGGGAACTTAAGGGAAAACAGGAAACTCAAAGAAAGGAAAGATTATTGGGATGGAGAGTAACACAGGTGTAGTAGTAACTAAGTGGAAGGACAAACGCTTATGCTGAATATAAAGCATACTACTGACATGGTAGACGTCCATCAAAGGGGAGAAATAGTTGAAAAGCTAGTTTCTGTTGTCGACTACAATACGAGCAAAAAATTTATAGATAAATCAAATCGTCTTACTCTACAGCATTACGAAAATGGTATCGTAAAATAGCAATTGAGCTCCTTCTAGGGTCAGCTATTGCCAACGCCTATATAATTTACTAAAAAGTAACCAACAGTAACATGTCCATCATATCTTTCAAGAAAGAGTTGGTTTGTCAAGTGGTACATTTCTTTAGACTAACTAATCCAGAGCAACAGATGCCACACGCTCGTGAAGTTTACCATACAGAGGTAATGCAAAATTTGGCTAGAAGAAAATCTGCCACATGTAAAGCAAACAATTCAGCAGATAATGGTAGAAAGTTTGCACATACTAAAACTCCTTTTTCTCGATTTATCAAATATTATATTTTTTAATTTATTTCTTAACTAGAAACCTGTATAGCTACTTTTAAAGGACATTTTACTGATCTTTTGCATTAAAAAAAAACAGTTGTTTATGTTTTATATAAATAAAACTTAGTTTCAACCTACATAATATATTTTTTTTATTGACAGACGCTATAACTAAAAATGTAAGCTAAATATATACAAGAGTTCATCAGTCTACTGAGAAAATGTATTCCATATAAATGAATAGGTATTGTGGCCTTTCTCGTGGCGTCTAACGTATTAAATTAAAGTGTCTCGGCAACTATTGGCCACTAAGACTGAAAAAAAGTTTAGAGTTTTAAAAAGTTTTATTACAATATGTTTAAGTACATAAATATAAAATCTGAAGTTTGGATACATTAGCTATATATTAATATAATTACACTAAGTATTAAAGGTCTTTTATGAGATGAATTATGGAACTTTACATGGTTGTAGAACTGAGTAGGACACTTAAATTTTTTGAAAGTTATAGTAATCTCTTTGAGGTCTATAGTGGACACATTCTAGTAATAAGGACTGGAACGTTAAGGGGTCATCAAAATATTAACAGCGAGGACGATTTTCAGAAGATATCAGATATCCATAAGTGAGACGAATAAGACCTATTCTGATGATAATATTGTCTTTTCTGCTCATATGGGGCACGGTGATGGAGGTAACAGTTGGTTGAATTTTGCGTAGTTTTGTATTTTGAACATTCCAGCCTGTTTGCTAATTGCTTAATACGTTGTTCTTGATACTAGCCTTTAGATATTGGTGAAATTGTATGTTTTCCAGATTTTCTAAGGAGCAGGTCTATGTGCAGTGTAGTATAATGGACTTAAAGAAATTTTGTTAAATAAAAACATAGACAGTAGAGACATTAGAATTATATGTAACCTTTATTGAAATCAAACAACGAATGTGAAGTTGAAAATGAACTGACTGAGAATATCCAGATTGGCTGAGGAGTGCGCCAATGGTGTATTTATAACCATTGGCGCTGACGACACAACCGACGGCCTGTTCTTCTTTGGAATCATCTGTCTAGAGAATTTAATCATAATGCTGTCTCTGTATAAGTTCTACCAATGTCTGTACCAAGAGAGTTCTGGACGTTTCTTCTTTTTTGTTTCGATTACGGCTGGTAAGGACAGAATGTAACTTTTTGGTCCACAGGGGAATTCTTTACATAGTAACAGGAGTCGTGGGAATTAGGTCTATCTTTTAGCTAAGTTTTTAAAATATGTGGGAGTGAATGTGCCCGAGGTTGATTATTATATGAGACAGGGTCTCTCTCTCTTCAATCCTGACACCCCAGGGGGAGTGTAGTGGTCGACGTGATGTCGTGTATTGTTCGCCTCCAGAGATCTCTGTCTCTGGTCATTTCTTTTAATTCATGCATAGGTCTTTGGCATATTCCTGTAATTTGATCTATCCATCTTGTTAGGGATCTTCCTCGTGATCTTCGGCCTTCTACCTTTCCTTGTTTTATGAGTATTTCCATGTTTTCTGTGTTTGCTCTCATAACATGCCCAAAATATTTTAATTGTTGGAGATGGACTTTACTAGAGAGTCGTTGGCTAACTTTTAGGTCTCTTAAAGTATTAATTCGTTTAATTACTGGGTTTTTTGAATTAGCAGAATTCTAGAGAAGTAAGACAGAAGTAAACGTTATTGTCTTATAAAAAGTGGGGGTTTTGAAGATTCGATATAAAGACTTTCAGAACTTGATTTATAGGCGCCAAGGTTAATGCGTAAAGAAGTATTGTGAATAGTCACGAGATTTATACATAAAAAAACGTTAGTCGTGAAATAAAGAATTTGATTCACTATGATATTATGATATAGTAGTAAACAATATCGTTGTCATTAAAAACTGTCACAAATTCTAACACCACAAAACCTACCACACCTATCCATGACTATCTTTAAAATTTGCGCAATTTTATGGTCTAGCATAGAACTAACTTTTGTGTCTTCTGCAGTAAATAAAAAATGTACAAATTAAAGTATTACCTAAAACTGGACATAAACTATTCTCGAAACTTTCTCGTTATTAAAAACTCGTAAGCATTTTAGTAATTGAAAATCACTCATTAATCAACAAACTAAGAGACGAAACTAAAACAATGTTGACAATACATTCTATATCTTATCATCGTCAGATATGATAAGATTATAACAGATATATGGCTCGACATATAAAAATTGTATATAAGATAAAAATTTCAAAGAATTTAAAGAACAAGTCGGTATCAGGTAGATTATTTTATAGCTGCGAAGATAACGCGAAATAGGAGATAACATAAATATAAGTACATATACAGTGTCGGAAGTCTAAGAAGTGAACACCTAAGTTTTCACTGAAATTTAATGTTAATCTTTGAATAAAAAGAAAACAAAAAGGATTGTCATGTCTTCTACTTCTCTCAGTAACTTGTAAATCAGCAATTTTCACTCTACTTCTACTGCAATATTTCCCCATTACTCTGCTGCATTAGCTATACTACGTATTACTATTAGTTTTTTTTATTTAATTAATGGCTATGGATAACCTGATCCATTCAGACTCGATAATGTTCTATTAGAAACAAATTAACCGTCCAAAGTTATCGTTTTATTTGTAGTAACTCCATATTTAAATACGCATTCCAAATACTCTGTTTTTATCCAAGATCAATGAATATATAAGATGAACGTTTGTTTCTTTATCCCTAAATTTTTCCATCGGCTGACTTATAAAAACTGCATCCGTTGTTGATCTGTCTTGCATAAAACCAAACTGATATCGGATATTTCGATTTCCTCACGTATCAGTGTATCAATTACTGTCTTCTATATTTTCATTCTTCTTCTTAAAACCTGTACTCAATGGAGGTTGGCTACTACAATTGCAAACTATTATCTGTCTTCAGCTGTTCTTATTAGCTGATATGAATTTAGCCTTGTACATTGTCGGACGTTTCTTAGCCACGATAGTCTTCCTTCCTAGTCCTCGATCATTCCTTTTACTATTAGTAGAGTATATTGGTAGTCAGTATGATTCTTTTGATTTTTTAGAAAGATATTCTCCCCTATTCTATTCTCGACCCTATTTTAGACTGCTGTTTCAGTAGTTAGACTGCTATTGATCTAAAATCGCAGGTACTTGAATTTGTCAACCTGTTCTAAAATGTGCTCATCTATTGTTCAAGGTTGATGAATATTTTGGTTTTTTCAAATTGATATCACTTTGGTTTTTTAATATTTATTTTCATACCAAATTACTCACAGACCGACTTGGTCCTGTTAATGAGTCGTTGTAGACCCAAGTCGGAATCCGTATCAACATTGTACCATCAGCGTATCTAATGTTGTTGATATTTACGACATTCTCCTTGGCTCCGTCCTTGGAATCCTTCAGTTCTTTTTTAGTATCTTCTTTACTCACTTTTGAGGACTCTATTTTTGATATAAGACTCATTAGCAATTCTGTCTTCCTACAACGCCGACGTCTCTCTTCATCTCTATTTTCTTCCTGACGAGGTCTCTCTTCAGATTCCTGTTCTTTCTGACGACGTCTCTCTTCGATTGCGGTAATCATATCTCGAATGTTCACCATCTTGGTCTCGCTTCTTGTTTTGACTATACAGATTCTCGAAAATAACTTCTTTCACTTAATTCCACTTCTGACACCAGTTCTAACGTTGTCTGTAAGTTCAAAGATTAAGTGAAGCACGAAATCAGTGAAAAAGCAATAAAACCCCGAATATATATCTCAATAATATCCTGGGGAACAACTAGAAATTTCACACAGTTATAGAAGTAAAAATAGAGGGCGAAAATAAATTACTAACATAAGATAAGCTAAAGATATAGCAATATTAGCTGAAAACTTTGGAAGACCTTTAGAATCTGGTTAACTAGTATCATGATACCATGCCTGAAGACATGCCTTAACACGAAAAAAAAAAACAGAAATATAATGTTACAAAAAGCCCAAATGGCAGTTCAAAAAATGATTATAAAAACCCAAGAATGAAAACCTTAGTAGTATAAAATAATAGAGGTAAGAGTGAAATGAGTGATAATCAAAAATTAGAAAATATTGAATTTCTCTTCTATAAAAATGTTAAGAACAGTTTTTGTGTTTTTCTTAAATCAATTCAAGAAGCATCTAAGGTTACAGAGTTAAATAGATAATTGAATAGTAAGTTTTATGAAAGACTTACCTCTTCAGCTCTTTGTTTTTTCAGTTCGTCCACTTCGCTTTCCAATATAATATTCTTCCTCTCCGCTTCGCTGAGATTTCTCTGAGTCTCAGACAATACAGCTGAAAGTTGCCTCTTATCTTCAAGTTGACACTGGCTTTGAACCTGAAAGTATAGAGAAATATGTCAAAATTATAAAATGCCTAAAAAGCTTTATGTTCACATATATTTCGATATTTATTATGATAGTCACGAAAAAGTTTTATAAAATGTTTGTCCTTTTAAATGTCTTGAGTTTGGGAAATAGAAAATTACGCAGATGCTAGGTTTGGTAAGTAAGGAGTTCCAAATAAGACAGGATGCCGTTTTTTGTGTAGAAATAAAAAATTAACAACGCAGAAATAAAGAATTAACTGATCTCAACAAATATGCACTTTGTTGATAATTCCTAGTATTAGATAGTGAATATAGTTGGAGTTTTAGTCAACGCCATTTCAATTTTAGTTGTCTTCCCAGCTGATTCCCTTTGGGGGTTACTCTGATTAGGGCTCTGCTCTCTCATTCCCGACTCTGGACCTCCTTTTAGACTTTCCTTTCTTATTTCAAATTTACCTATTTGAGACATTGGACCTCCACCCCCATTTGTTTTCCCCCTATTCATTTATTTTTCGAATCCTCGAGCGTCTCTATCTTTGAGTAAGGTATGGGGTATTGGATTCTAACATCTTCCACAGTTACCCATCCAAAATTTGGTAGCCCTACGGTGTACGCCCTTTACCTCACACCTATCTACATCATCAGTTTTCTCTCCACTTACAGACCCCAATTATCTCATCATATAGTTTTAAGTGTTTAAGTTAAGTTTAAGCCTTAATGGAGACAACCGAAGGTATTATTGTGAATGGAGTAACCGTCAACAATATTAGATATGCCGACGATACCTTAGTCCTTGCCAATTGCGGAGAAGACCTTCAAAATCTAATGAACAAAATAAAACAGACTTGTGATCAGTATGGACTAAAACTCAACGTTAAGAAAACTAAATATATGATAGTTAGCAAACAAAATTATATACATGATGACGGTATAAAAGTCGGAGATGCCACACTGGACAGAGTAGAGAAACTCGTGTATCTCGGCAGTAATATCAATGAGAGCTGGGATCCAACCGCAGAAATTAAAAGCCGAATAGAACAAGCCCGAGCTGCCTTTGTAAAAATGAGAAACGTACTTTGCAGTCATGATCTTAGCATTGACCTTAGAGTTCGTATGATATCTTGCTACATCTTTCCTGTCCTGCTGTATGGAGTAGAAGCGTGGACCCTAACTGAGGCTATGCTTAAACGCTTGACAGCCTTTGAGATGTGGGTATACAGACGACTACTGAAAATAAGCTGGGTCAACAGAGTTAGAAATGAGGAGGTCCTTAGACGGCTGAACCAAACAACACAACTGGTCAATATAATAAAGAAACGCAAGCTGGAATACTTCGGTCATATTATGAGACACCCTGAAAAATATGATCTTTTACATCTGATCATTCAGGGAAAGATCCAAGGTAATCGTGGTCCTGGTAGAAGAAGAACATCATGGCTGAAAAATCTAAGGCAATGGTATGGAAAATCAACTACATCGTTATTTAGAGCTGCTGTCAATAAAGTCACGATAGCGAATATGGTAGCCAACATGATATCCAACGATCGATAACGGTCATGGAACTAGAAGAAGAAGATAGTTTTAAGTAGCGAGAAGGCACAGTAACACCGGCAACAGCAAAGTGTAAAATATGTTAGAGTTCCAGTACCAGTTGCTGTTGTTCCAGGGGTGGTAACAGCGCAGAAGTTGTTGCTTTCTTTCATCTATCTCGGAGTACTGTACCATAACGAGCCAGCAAGAGTAGTTTGTTTCTACCGTCCAGCCCGGCAAAAGGTTATGATCCACAAGTAACAAACGCTCAGTATTTTGGTAATCATGCTCCACTAAACATGTCTCCTCCACTTCGCGACAAGTATATGATTGGCACAACAGACTGTGGCACGTGTAGCCAATATCCGCCAAGAACTCAGAACGGTCAGGTATCCAATAGGTAGGAGTGGTGTAATCCACAGCCACTAGACTAAGCAGGTGTGAGCATGTCTTCAGAGCGGTTGCGGCAAGATGTAGCTATGTTATAATGAGAAGTACTTGCCCACTGAAACAGCTACTGACAAATTTACTACGGTAAGTGAGAAAATGTCATACAAGTAGTGTTGGCATCTATCGAAGAGGCTGAGAAGTTATCAGACCCCATTTTTATGTGTTTTTGGTTTTGTAAACTCATTTTTGACAAAATTTGGACATAACTTTTTGATCTTTCCTTTTCAAATTTGTTTTATTTGTAAATATCTCTTTCAGTTCATCAATAGCTGCAGTACCACAAGGAAGCGTAGTAGGCCTGGTTCTCTATCTTCTACACAAGTGTGACATTGCAGATTTTTTTTTCTGATGGTGGAAATTTCTAAAAAACCGTAACCCATCCCTAGGGATGGTTGGCGTGTGTTAAATTCAGGGTAGAGGAGTACATCAGAGCCCATTTCCATCTAGAGGGAGGTCCTGCAAACGGATGCCTTCCTGTTATCCTGCCTACCAACTAAACCCACCCTCTCCTACTTTTGCGCAGTTGACTCTTACTTGTACTCCGGAAGTGGAGTGGTCGCTGTAAAGCTGACGACACTTTCGGAGCACTCCCTTCTCTTATTTAGATCTTATCTGTCATTGGTCCGGCTCATGTGTCTCTTCCTCTTCTTCCTTCTTAATGACTGCTCAGATTGTGTACACTATTTCATCCCTTCTTACTTCCCGTCATTTTCACAATTATCTCTCTCAGAGTCACAGAGTTTATACCTATTTTTCTATACATTCTGTTTCTTTCAACTGTCTATCTACTACACTCCAGCATTGTAAGAGTAACAGTGATTATTCGCAATGAGTATTCGCAGTATAGGCATCTGTCTGTATCTGTCATTCTGAACTTGTCAATATACGGCCTAAAACACCCATGACCTGAAAGCACTTGCGTCAGGAAGTAATCCAGTCGCTTATGTAAGTCCACCCTTAGGCTCAGGTTTAGCATCTTAGTCCACTGGGCAACATCTTACGTGTTGTTCCACTCTTCTTGATGATGCCCCCAATGTTGGGCATCACCCTCTCCAGCACAGCCGCACTCTTCTCTGTCTTATGGGCTACCACCCGTATACGCTCCCCCATCCGCCATATTGGTGTAGCGTCACTTCCAGATATTTGATACATTTCTTTAATGTTGCCTGTGCAAGCACATTGGAGTTTCAGTCCGTGATCTTTCATCCAGTCCTTCACGACGTTGCCCGTATATCTTAGGTACCCGAAATCGGAGATGCGGCTCCCCCAGGTTACTACCAGCCCAGAGAGATCATCCGCAAAGGCGAGGGGTTTTAACGTTCCCCATATTGGCAGTTCATGACCCCGCAATATGCCAGGGTCCATAGCGTCATGCCCAAGATCGATCCCTATGGGACTCCAGCCGTTACGTCTACAAACGTGTCCTTCTCAGTCATAATCCTTTTCTCGGTAAGATATTCTGCCATCACATTCATTTGTTAGTTATTACACTCACTCTCCTCCAATGTTGGCATCGCCTCTTTCACTTCAGAGTGTTAAATATATTTCTAACATCTAAGAACAGCAGGGCCGCCCAGCACTCTTCGTCCTCAATCCACAAATGAGGAAGTGACTGACAAGCTACAAACATCACTTAATGAAATACATTTATGGATAAAAAAATTGCGAATCATATTAAATGAAACCAAATCGACCCCTATTTACCAGGTAGAATAAATGATATCCAAGTTCCTTATACAATATCAGCAAAATATCTGGGTATCACCTTGACACGTGAGACTGCACTGAAAAGTACACGTTAAAAAGAAAAGAGAAGCGCATGGTATTCGATGTAAGAAAATCCATTTGATTATTGGGAGAAATTTTATATTGTCCATTCATAACAAATTGTTAATACAAGCAAAAACTAAGTAAATACCAGTATGGGTATATGATTGTCAACTCTGGAGATGTGCCAAAGCTAGATGCCAAAGATCCCAGAACAAAGTATTGAGAAATATTGTTGATGCCCCTTGATACTTGCGCAACAGTGACCTCCACCGGTACCTGGGAATGGAAACTGTGGACAGAATGATCAAGATAACAGGAAACAATACATTGTGTAAAATAAGATAAGAGGATGCCATAGGATAAGCTGTTAGTTTTAGTAACCTTTAGTAATATAAGTTAAATATAAATTGGTTATTGATCACGTTTGACCAGATTGCAACAGTAATACACTGCAAGGTATTTCTAAATAAATAAAAATTGCAATATTTTTATAATCTTCTGGTTTAATTTTTTTTTACATATATGAAATAAGCATGTATCACATTGTGTACAGAAACTTGTGAGTTATAGAACAGTAATTTTTAAAAACGATTAATGATAAAATTAAAATCTAGTAAATCTTACCTGTAACTCGTTCAAAGCATCTTGGAATTCTTGCAATTGCTCATTTAACCCATTCTTTTCCTTCACCAATTTCTCGCATTTGTACTCCAAATCAGACTGTGTGGTTTTTGCGTTATTTCGGGTTACCTAAAACAGATAATAATTTTTTATAGCAAGCAATTGTTTCTACATGCATACATATGGAAGTATAACCATTTATAGTAAAGGATGTTGGTAACTTGAATCTGGTTTTTAGTTTTGTACCTTACACTCCTCTTGCAAAATTGATACTTGCTCTCTTAGCTTTTCAATTTCATTTTTGCTAATGGCTAGCTGCTCCTTCAAATGAGCAACTTCAGACTCCAGAGTATCTTTTTCCTTTCTGGCATTATCCAGTAGTTCGTCCAGTTCCGATTTATCACTGAGGGCTCGGTCTTGTTCCAATTCATTGATCTAAAAAAAGCAAATTTACAATATTCTGTAAAGATCGTATGCACAAGATGTAACGTGAGGAGTAGAATAAAACTGTAGTATATATACCTTTGTTCTGGCGTTGTCGAGTAAATCAGTCAGTCTATTGATTTCTATTTGCTTTCCGCTACATTGATCCTTAGCTTGAGCCAGTTCTTGATCCAACTGTTTGTGTTCGGCATGCTTAGCGTCCAAGGTGCACTCTAGAGTTCTCACTCTATCTCTTAGTTGGCCGATTTGTTCGTCTTTATCTGCAATAAAAAAATAAGTTAAATAAATACAATTTCAACTTATGTCATAATTCTTCTGGTAAAAACTACATACTTGATATCAACGAAAATTGTCAACAACATACCTATAATGCCCGATCTAGCTTCTTGTAGTTCATTGTTTAGTTGCTCTAACTTCACTAGCAACCCCTCCCTCTCCTCTTGGGCTGACTTTAATAGATCCACCAACTTTTGCTCTCGTTCTACAGCTGTTTCGAATTGTCCAGTGTCGTCCTTTTCCTAAAAAGAAAACAACAATGTCATTTGCAAACTTTAATATGATGTTCATGGTCTATTTTATTGTTGTAAATATATTGTCAATTAACTTTTATCGCCTTCAAAAGAATTCGCACTTTTCCGTGAGTGATGCTCGCTCGTATAATGAGAACGAACTATCTCGAAATAACTGGCTGAGCGACAGTCGAATGATCGGAAACTCCAAAAAGTCTCGGATATTGTATCTGCGTCGATGCCTCTAACGCACAGGGCCAAAATCAGGAATATTTGACTAACAAAATTTTTTAATCCATTTCGATGTGAGTAGTTTACTAGGTTAATGGTTCGAACCAGACTCTAGTCAGATATGTCCAAAGTGTATCTGCAGCTTCTTCTTCTTATTAAGGTGCCTTCTCCATTACTGAAGGTTGGCCATAACTACAGCAAATTGCTTTCTATCTTGACCTGTTCTTAGTATCGAATGTGTGTCCATACCTGTCCAGTCTCTTACATTCATCAACCAGGAGGTCTTTCTTCCTCCTGAACATCTTCTTCCTTACACTTTCCCTTCCATTACAAGACGTAGGAAGTTGTTTTTTTCTCCTCTGTGTAAATATGTACTAGATAACTCGTTTTCCTTTTTTTTACAATATTTAGGAGTTTTCTTTCAGTACCCATTCTTCTTAGCACCTCGTTGTTGGTCACGTACTCTGTCCAAGAGATCTTCAGCATCCTTCGAAAAACCCACATGTCAATGGCTTCTATACGCCTCATACTTGTAATTCCGAGAGTCCATGTTTCCACTCCGTATAGCAATATGGAATGGATAAAGGTTTTTACAAATTGGTATCGGATATCCAACGATAACGTAGAGTTTATTAAAAAATTTTTCATTCGTTGAAATACGGACCTAGCATATTCTATACGAGCACGTATTTCGACCTCGTGGTCAAGATCGTTGGTTATCCAGCAACCAAGATACTGGAATCTTTGTAGTGGTTCTATATGTTTGTTATAGATACGAATATTAATGTCGACATTTGGTGCACGTGTAACAGCCATTACTTTTGTTTTATTTGTGTTTATATTTAGTCCCAAGCTATCTCCCTCTCTGGTTATGAAATTCAAAAGTCGTTGTAAATCCTCAGCACTGTCCGCAATAATGACAGTGTCGTCTACGTATCTTAAGTTGTTTACGTATTCTCCGTTGATTTTTATTCCTTCTTCAATATTTTCGAGAGCAATTTGAAATATCTTTTCGGAATATATATTAAATAACAGTGGAGAAAGTACCCAGAGCTGACGAACTCTTCTTTTTATTGGCAATTCTGCTGTCAGATGATTGTCTATTTTGAACGACCATTTGATCCCAATATAGTTTTTTAATAAGTGCTACAGTGTTATGGTCAATACCATGTTGTGTTAGGGTTTCTATGAGTTCTGTGTGTTTTACTCGTATCAAACGCTTTTTCGTAGTCGATAAAACAGAGAAACACGTCTTTTCGCTGATCTCGGCATTTTTGTAATAATATCTGGAAGCCAAATAATGCCTCCCTTGTACCAAGCCCCATCCAAAATCCAAATTGATTGTCGCTCAGGTTTCTTTCGCATTCTCTTTATACTCGTTGATGTACAATTTTGAGTAAAATTTTCAGAAAATGGCTCATCAGGCTAATTATTCTGAACTGTGAGCATCTATTTGCTTTATTTTTCTTGGGTATAGGTACAAATGTCGATCTAAGCCTTCGAAGTCTTCTGGGAAAATTCCAGTGGTATATATTTTGTTAAATAATATTGTTAAAATCTAAAGATTTTCTTCATTGATAGGTCATCTGCAGCTTAAAAATTGAAATTATAGAGTAAATATACAACGTTAGCAATTACATGGTTCAAAATAGCAAGTGAGGGAAGCCGATAAGAGAATAGCTGGTTTGCGAAACTTATGAAAACGGTTTGGGTACAATGAGACGGATCGGAATCCGTATCAACACCGTATCATCGGCGTACGTAATGCTGTTGATATTTACGCCATTCACCTTGACTCTGTCCTTAAAATCCTCCAGTTCGCTTTTCATATCTTCTTTACTCACTTTTGAGGCTTCAATGTTTTAAATAAGACTCATGAACAACTCACTGTCTTCCTCAACACGTCTGTCTTCATCTTGCTTTTATTCCCGACGACGTCTGTCTTTCGTTATTCTGTGAAAGAGCTGGCTGAGCGACATGAAAATACTCCTAAAATTTTCGAAAGTCATCTCTACGTTGATAGAATGAGTTCGTGCAATATTTTGGCGACGGAGGATTTCTCAATTTCTCAAACTCACAGGGTCGCAATCAGGGGTATCTGACTCAGAACAATATTATAATCCATGTCGATGTTAGTAGTTTATGAGATTTAGGGTTCGAACGACGCTCCAGTCAGATATGTCCAAAGTATATCTGCTGCTTAGAAATTGAAATTGCAAGAGATAGTCCATAAGAGAGGTTTGTGAAACATCAAAACGGTTTGGGTACAATTTAGCACACCTGTTTAATAAAATTGCTGGCTTCAATATACCATTTGATACATGCTGAAATAGGCAGTGAAATCGTTCAGAAAAACGTAAGAATATGACAAACTTGACAAGCTAAACTATAGGTTAAGGATATAACAAGACACATAATTACCATTAGTAATTAAAATAAGTAGACAGAAAAAACTAAATGGTAAACTACTTACTTGATATAAAAGTTGCTTCAGAGATTCAACCTCTGACCGCGAATCGTTTAATCTTTCTGTTTGACGACATAGACTGTCGAACATAAGTGTCTTTTCTTCGTTAAGGCGTTCGTTTTCTTGTTGTAGTTCGGTGAGCTGCCGTTGAAGATCTGTTAGTTCTTGAAGTGTCGCTTGCAGTTCTTCGTTCGTACTGAAAAAAAAATCGCATAAGTTAAGTTAATAAGTTAAGATAAACATTCCAAAACATCTTAACAACGAAACAATTCAAAAGCCAATGAGAGATAGGTATATACAGTAGTTTTTATTTTTCACTTGCTTGTCTATTAAGATATCTTATGATTCGAAAAGGATATAACATGTTGCTTTTTTCTTACCAAAACTGTAATTATTTTTAATAAGTTACATATGATAATTTGCAAAGCCTCTACCCTTTTGTATGGGGTTGAAGTTTGGACACTTAAAAAATCCAACGTTAAAAACCTAGAAGCATTCGAAATATGGTGTTACCCCGACGTATTTTGATAATATTATGGATGGATCGCAAAACAAACGAACAAGTTTTTGAACAACTAGGAAAACAATGCGAAGTTTTAAATTCCATAAAAATCAGGAAATTGGAATACGTGGGGCACATCATGAGAGGAGAAAAATACGAACTACTAAGGAATATAATGCAGGGTAAAATCAAAGGCAGAAGAAGCGTAGTAGGAAGACGTAAAATCTCGTGGCTACTCAATCTCCGTGAATGGTTTGGATGCAGTTCAATTGAACTATTCTGGCGCGTAACCAACAAAATATAATTGCCAGAATGATTTCTAATCTTTGATAGGAGCGAAACTTGAAGAAGAAAGCGTAATAAGGGAATACCTTATGTGGCTCTTATGTAACATTCTAGTCACATTCAGCTTCATATATGCCACAGCTTAAAACCTTGCTCCCATAGATACCTAATTAGCAAACATCATTTATGCCAGGAAAAGAAATGAGGGAGCAAATTTTAAATATCCGACAAATAGGAGAAAAAGCATATTAATTTAATGTTAAACCTATTTATACTTCATCGATTGCACTAAGGCGTTACATTGCGTGAAGTGGAGAATGTTTTGGTTGATGGGGTTACAAAGTATCCACTTCTACTTAAAAACGTATATCAAACTATTTTTGGAAAAGTAAAGGTCAACAACGTTCTTCCCAAACCATTTAAACCAAAAGCTGGTGTATCACAAGGCCATAATATTTAATACATGTAGGGGATATATTGAAAATATGAGAACAGCTTTACAAGGAGAAGAGAGGTGCGGAATAAGAATACGTAAAAAATAATCATGAACTTTAGATTTGCGGACGATATCTTAATGTTAGCCTGCTCAGAAGAGTATATTACTCAGGAGTGTCAGTGCTTCATGGGCTTTCCTAGAGTATACTACACTCCGGGGCTTATCCTGTTCGTTCTCAGCTGGAGCTAGATGCAGTTTTTCCACCGCAATTTGTTTTGTATTACATAAAAAGAGAATCTTAACGAAACAACCTCCAGTTTAGAGCGACTGCAGAAGAGAGATCAAAAAGGTCTACATATATGACACTCTATGTGGATCAAGCCAGAGGGAAAGAGAAGCACTCAACCTAAATTAAAACACATTTTGACCCTAGACCGACTGCTTTAGTAAAAGAACCTTTCGCAAGACATCCTTAAAAACTAATCATTGGAGAAAATATATATTTTCCTTGTCTTGATGTAGAGAAGCCATAATTTTTTCAAAAGATATTTTATGAACGCATAGCAGAGTAAACTGATATGTGTTGGGCCTACGGTATACCGGGGAAGCTAACAAGGTTAGAACTACGTTTCAAACACCTATTATTACCCATAGTTATACCGAAGGTACTCATTTTATGTAGCCGAGTCGACACGAGGCCGAGTTTTTGCGTGATTACATCATATTTGAGCTATCCGGTTTAAAAAGAGTATTTAGGAAAATTCTAAATAAAACTTCATCCGTCACAAATCTCTTTGTGTTGAAACAAGGAAAAAACTGCAGGGGTCAGATCTACTAAATGGGAGGGAGTGGGGTTAAAGGATGACAATACCGTTGTACAAAAATAGTTACTAATATCGGTAGATTACTCGTTGCAATGTCTGACATCCTTTAAATCTCCTGAATGATGACACCGTAACCCACTCATACATGCATCGCCAAAAAAGATGCTTGCAATATATAAAAATTTCGGGAAAAGTTATACAAAGTTTAATACAAAATTTGACATAAAGACGTTTCTCTCGGTTTATATTCGTTTTGCAAAATATCGAAAAAAATTATATACACAAAATCAGTTCTAAAAGTTTACAAAAACAGCAGTCCTCGTTTGTTTATACTTAGTTCATTGGCTTCTGAATCCTTACAAATCAAGATATCAATAATGGTTCAAGCATAAATATGTGAGATTGGTGGTAGATGGTAGGTGACTATTTAAGTCGACAGCATTCAAAATGTTAGTATATGTACAAAAATATTGTGTAAAAAAGTTTTTAATGTCACGAATTAGTATCAAAACTTGCAATTTCAAAAATAATTGCCACATAACACATTTAATTATTTTTATTTAAGACTAATATTAAAAATATTCTTAAGGATTGCTAAATTTATACATGCCTAGTCGATGTGAAAGTGTCACTAAAAAAAAGGGAGTTAAAAATAAAGATGGAGAATGACATATCTGATAATAAGATAATAAAGGAACTGAAGTCAACAGGCGTATCAACACTGTTGATGTGGAGATGGATTCTCAAAAGCATCAGACTAACTAAAGATGACTAAATATAAAAGACAGAAAACGACTAATAATGTCATTTTCTGTCTTTTGAGTTATACGAAATTTATAAATTTACGAATTGTAAAAAGAATTGATATTGGTACGTCCACGATAGAAATTTCTAGAGACATGTAAATAAATCTAGATTTAACTGTTGGTAAGAAGTTTACTGGAATGAAAAGTAATGATATACAGTAAAACCTCCGTTAACCGAAATAATTGGGGGGGGAGGCCGTTTCGGATAACAAGAATTTCGGTTAAAAATAACATTATTTTTTATAGTATTCTTGGTTAAAGTATTGGTATTAAAAAATACTATAATGTGATTTCGTAATGTTTTCTAATAAGTAAATACAGAATAAAATAAAATTAAGGAAAATGAACAAGTTTAACAAGATGGAATCTATTTTCTTTTATGTTATCGTTTGACAACGATGTTTTGCAGCTATATATGTCCATCGTTCATTTGCAGAATGTCGTGAGTTTGCCTCATTTCATCATTCGATGAAACGTAAAGCAATCTGAAAAGGACAAAACTTTATACAACGACAGACAACAAAAATTAAGAACCTAATCGTGTCCCTAAAAAAATCGTGTCTACTGTATAAAATTCTTATCCTTAAGGCATTGAAAATCTCGTCGGTGGTCTCGTGCTGCCTGTTGTCTGTTGGGTGGTCATCTTCGTCGTCTGATACGCTCAGGTTGTCTGGATGAAGAACCATATCAATGATATCCTGGTCGATGAATTCACTTTCTGAGTCATCGGCTGCTAACCACTCACGTATCTCTTCTTAGATAATTTCGTCACATTCCGGCAAATTTTTTATTAAAGGTTTAATTTCTTCTGTCGTTTCTTTACAATTTTCTTCTTCAGGATCATCAATCAAAATCCTATCAAAAAGTTAGTTTCATTATTCATTTTCCAAAGTTAAAGATTTGATCTTGGCCCAGAACTCAGCACACCGATAAACAACATGTTTCATTGTTGAACATTTGAGGATTTCAGGAACACTTTTGGATTCATTTATTTCCTGTAATAACAGATGTCTTAAGAATGCTCCTCTATAAAGCTGAATTAAGCTCTTGGCATTCGGTGGCAAAAATCTGACACTTATCACTATTGTATAGATTTTGAATCAACAAGCAACAATGCTTTGATGGGAAGGTTTTTTACTTTAAAAGGGATTTTACGCTTGCGACGAATTCATTTTCGAACCATTCTGAAAATAAAGTGGTCGACATCCATGAGCTTTTTTGGTTTCTATAAAAAACTGGAAGTGATTTTTCTCAAATATCTTTTAGAGCTCTTGGTAGAGCTCCAACACACATAGGCATCAATCGGTGAGTGAAATTAATGAAATTTACGTTTTGCGATAAAAATTTACTTTTTATTGGCGAAATTATTTAAACTGTCAGCCGTTTCGGTTAAACGATGTTTCGGTTAAGGGAGGTTTTAATGTAAAACTATCATTGATAATTTTTAATGAGCATAGTGTAGAGGAATCTTCTCTCAATATACCATTAAACGTTAATTATATTAGTTACTTGGACTCTTTAATTTTACTGTAGCCATCAGATCGTAAGTTAATTTTAAAATACGTAGTGAAAGGGTAGAAGAAATTTCAAGGAATTCCCAAACAAAAAATAAACAATTGATTTGTCAATTGCGGTGTATTCCTGACTATTTAACTAAAAAAAATTAAAAGGCCACGGGAAAGTATAAAAAATAATTTAATGTGGTGTATTTTTTTTATTTAAAAAATTATTCTGATGTTTTTTTACGTTTGAAAGTTTTGATCTAATATGGTAAAAGTATCGAAGGGTTTTGTATTTTCATATACTGTTTTTCGATAAAAAACCACTCAAACACACTTTTAACGTTATTTGACAAAGAAAAACGTAAATGAAAAGATTTACCACATATCACCAAATTCTCGAATCCTAAAAATGAAAATATATATTTTTGTAATGCTTAAGTGAATCTCATAGTAAATAACATCACTATATAACCAAAATTCATTACATCTACACCATATTTGAATCAAATACTACTTGCTTTTCTTTGCTAATTTAATGATTTAGTTTTCAAACAATTAATAACTATCTGCCGAGAGAGGGAAGAAGGAAGAGAGGAAAGATCTATAAAGAAGGAAGCAAGAGCAGGATAGGAAGTAAAAGAATTTCACCGCAAAAAGCAGCAGTCCTGCAAGGTTCCATACTGGCTTAACTCTCTACGCAATCCTGACATGCGACTTTTCCATCCCTTATTCTGCATTCCTTAGAGCATTACTGCATGCAGATAATATGGCATTCAATTAGGTTCAATGAAAAATTAACTTGTTTAAAGATGGTGCTTAGAGTGGAGTAAACTCCACGAAAATACACCACTAATATTCATAGAGTATATCCAAAGTACCTCAGACGATCTACGTAAAACGCTGTACTGAAATACTGATATAATAACACCCTAGGTATGGTTAGAAGATTAGCTAGATTGCTAGGAGTGTTAAGTGGAGCTAGAAATAGGACACCTTCCTACACATCGAAAAAAACTTGCATAAGACCGATTATTGAATATGATGCTTCCTTGTATTCGCTGGTAAATTCTTAGTAATCTCTACAGAAATATAAACTACTATCATTACGCTATCATTCACGACACCGCTGACATAAAGTCCATCACTGCATTCAATTTCTAAGCAACAAATCTGTTTTGAAAAAGATTCTGGGTCCTAATATTAAGGCTCAAAACGACTTGACACTCTAGAGGGCATCTACTTAGCAGATTCCCTAATCGCAATGCTCCTTCCACCCTAAAATATTGATGATATCCTTCTTCTTCAAGTTCCACTCCTATCGGAGATTGGAAATCATTCTGGCAATTATAATTTTATTGGTTACTCGCCTGAATAGTTCAATTGAACTGCATCCAAACCACTCACGGAGATTGCGTAGCCACGAGATTTTACGTTTTCCTACGCTTCTTCTACCTTTGATTTTACCCTGCATTATATTCCTTAGTAGTTCGTACTTTTCACCTCTCATGATGTGCCCCAAGTATTCCAATTTCCTGATCTTTATGGAATTTAAAACTTCGCATTGTTTTCCTAGTTGTTCGAGAACTTGTTCGTTTGTTTTGCGATCCATCCATGATATTTTCAAAATGCGTCGGTAACACCACATTTCGAATGCTTCTAGGTTTTTAATGTTGGATTTTTTAAGTGTCCAAGCTTCAACTCCATACAAAAGGGTAGAGAAAATATAACATCGAAGCATTCTTATCCGGAGCGATATATTGATATCGCGATTACAAAAAAGTTTTCTCATTCTATTAAAAGTTGACCGCGCAATTTCAATGCGGCATCTTATTCCTTTTGTCTGATCAGTATCTTCTGTGATCCATGCTCCAAGGTATTTGTACGAAGATATTGGTTCAATTTCTGTATTATCTAGTACTAGCTTAACTTTGATGTTTTGTGCTTTTGTAAATACCATGAACTTGGTTTTCTTCAAATTGATTTTTAGTCCATAATCGTTGCAATATATATTTAGTTGTTCAGCAAGGTGTTGCAGTTCTTCTAGTGTTCCTGCCAAAAGGACGGTGTCGTCAGCATATCTTATGTTATTAAGTGGCTCACCGTTTATTATAAGGCCCTCACTGATCTCGGCAAGCGCTAATTCTGAGATGGCTTCACTGTATAAATTGAATAACAAGGGTGATAAAATACACCCTTGGCGGACCCCACAGCGAATCTGGATATCCTTGGTCAGTTCGTTTTCAACTTTCACTTTTGCTGTTTGATTCCAATAGAGGTTACAAATGATTCTAATGTCTCTACTGTCTATGTTTTTATTTAATAAAATTTCTTTAAGTCGATTATGCTGCACTCTGTCAAATGCCTTCTCAAAATCAATGAAACATTCATATACTTCCTGATTAATATCTAAGCATCTCTGCGAAAGAACACTTACTGCAAACAGTGCATCTCGTGTTCCCAGACCTTTCCTAAATCCCATTTGTGTATTACTTATGCCTTCATCTAATTTCTTATGTATTCTATTGTGAATTACTTTTAAAAACAATTTCAAGACATGACTCATTAAGGCTATGGTTCGATGATCATTGCACTCCTTTGCATTGGCTTTTTTGGGAAGCAGTATGAATGTTGATTGGAGCCATTGGAGCATTGATGATATCCGTCGGTGGCGAATCCCTAGAAAGTACTTTGATGTCCTCGAAATATTTTATTTTGTCTACCGAATATTTCAACAACAAAATAAAAATATAACAAAAATAATAAGGACATATTGGTTTTAGGCTTAGGTGAGGTAAATAATTCTGAAGAACTGTTCCAGAAAACAATAGTGATTTGACTGGTGGCAACTACACCTCCGAGAGCTAAGAATAAGAACAACTTTGATTCCTCGGAACTAAAACTGGTCCTCCAGGTTGAGAGTTGGGCGTGGGTAAAATACCAGAAAAAAATTACTCGTTACGGACATAGGGTGGACATTTAAGGACCAGGTGACGTTTTAATTTAACGAAACTAACCTGCGGAATTGACGTTGGTTATATGGAATGCTAGAACAATGCCCCAATTTGACACAATGTAGTAAGATACGAACCAAAAAATTTGATACAAGACAAAACACACATAGGTATAAGAAAGCAAGAGGGGTCCCAAATAGACTCAAGGCAGCGTGTTGAGGACATTAAAAATCTAAAACAACTTATTGAAGCTTAGAACTTCTATAGGGCAGTAAAGGTGATGACTCACTGCTTAGAATCAAGAATTAACTCATCTGCTAGAGAGGAAATATTTGTTGTGAGACGAAAATGAAGTTGTTGCCCGATGGATTAAGTATTTCGAGGACCTACTGACCATTGAGAAGCAAGCAAAAGGTCAGAATTATAACAGTAGAACCGCAGATTCAGTAGATAGGCTTGATGTAAGTAGAAAAAAGCAATCATGGGGTCGAGGAACCATAAAGTTTCTGAAAAAGATCAACTGGAGCAGAGCATTTTAAATCAAGTCGTCACAGTCACGTTTGGTTAAGATCCTTCGTAAGTTGCTGTGCGATATCTGGGCAATAAAGAAATATTCGGAATGGAAGTAGATCCAATGTTTCAATAAATAAAAATGGTAGTAGATTTATGTGTACCAACTAGAGATGAGTTACACATCTATGTAACATGACACATATTTAGTCTACTACTAAGAAGGTTCTCTTAACATGAGGAAGAAATATTACATGTGGATAGGAATGGAAACGTGCTTGAAATATGATGTTGATCTGCTATAGATTTCCATAAGGCATTTGATTGCATGATAAAAAAGTGAACTGGTTAACGTAATCCAAAGCATCCGTTCAAATTGGGGGTTGCCTGTCTGCTTGCCTTTTTAACATAGCTCTTCGTGTGGCGGTAAAAGACTGAAGTTAAGTCATCGTAAACAAGTCAAGGACGTGCACTTTTCCGAACGAGCTTGGTCTAGTGGCTCGAATCTTGGTATCGATAAAAGAAATGCTGTTTGACATTGAATTAGTCAGTCGGTTGAACTAAAAATAAACCAGGATGAAACCAACTACTTAGGTTTATCTGCTGATGAAGCTAGAAGAAACTCCCAGGATGTTATCTTTGGAAAGTTTAACTAACAAGGTGAAAGAAGTTACTGGTTGGAGAGGACAGCAGATTGTAAAGCTTAAAGTCTATATTACTGTCCAAAGAACCTAAACTTATTATTGTTCTTAAGCTATGTTCTTGTGGCATTTTAAATTAGATACTATTTTATTGGGAATAAGCCACAATTGAAAGTTAAATAAGTTTATTGAAGTTTCAATTTCCACTTCGGAAATTGTTCTGAAAATAACGATTTAACGAAATAACTCTAAACTAAAATTGAGTTATACAAAACATTGTTAAAACTAGTTTCAACCCTTGCAGCTAAAGCCTGGTGTACAACAAAGGCTGATGAGTTCTGTCTTCGAGTTTTTGAAACAAAAATACTGCGAAAGATCTACTAACCGGTGAGGGATGGTATGTCGTCGAAAATTAGAGGTAATTTTGAACTTGAGGGGTTGATACGAGTAGAGTGCATAGTTAAATATGTCTAGTCGAGAAGACTGGCGTAGAAAGAACGTCTCTGGAAAGAGTCATGAAGAAAATTTCGTAGGGAAGAATAGAACGACCAATGGGGAGGATTTGAGAGCAATGCGGGTCAGACTTGACTGATCAGTGGTTATTGATTACTTAATGTAATGGCTATTCCTAAATCCATCATCTTTTAAAACCAGTTACGTATTGGACCTTCTAAGATGGTCTCATATATATTCAATACGGTTGCCGAAGCAACACAGTATTTGAGGAATATCCCGCTGCGCAGGATAAAAAAATTCATTGAAAAGTGCAGAATGTTAATAGCTTTTTATTAGAACTATTATTTTGGAGTGTGATTTTGATTGCCAATATTACTCATGCAAAACAGGGTTGCTTCAGCAGCATATTTCTCAAATAATTGTACACACCCTAGTTGTACTTGTAGTCTTTAGTAGAAATGAGTTTAAAATTTTTTGTGAAATATCTAAATTTTTAACACTTTTAGTAGTTTATTTCAATCATCTCCGACATTTTCCACTAGCACTGCATAATTCAATAGCCTTCGCGCAAAGACGCAATAAATTACGCACGACAAATAAAGAAACTCGAGATAATCGAGCGCAAATAAAATCTAGTCAGATAACGAACTCACCTGTAATGTGTTTCTTGCATTTGATTTATTTTGTCCTGAAGGCACGCAACAGAAACTTCGCTGACGTTGCTCGAAGAATGCTTGTCCCAATCGGGAGTGGTACAAGTCGTGTCGGCACCATTACCTTCATCGATTATCTGCAAATTTCAATAAGACGATTTAGTATTAAAGTTTATTTTGATCAAAAATAAAAGAATTTTTATATAAAAAGGAGGTAAGACTTGTATGCAAATATTTAATTGAATCTTGTCTAAGCACGTTCATACTCTGATCTTCATGAAGATCTGACGATATAGCTATCTAATACTAATTTAATCAGCAAATAAAAATTTAGATTACAAACTTTGCAAAATAATCACAACATGAAATGCCTGTCCTTTCACTATTATTTCATTTCTGAATAAGCCTAAAAACATTTGGGAGGGATAAAAACAACGCACAGTAAGCCGATTGGCTGGATTTCCAGAAAAGGAAAAACCACGCCCAACTCGTCATCATTATTTCTCAGCATCTCAAGTATTCCATTATTCAAGCATGAAGGTATTTCCTCATCCAATGCATTTCACTAAACTTGATTATTTATTTTTCAGTTTGGCACTTAATTCTGCTCTGTTTTTGTAACCTGTTCTGGTTTTCCAGAACAGGTAACTCACTTTTTTCTCCACATTTCGTTCTTTTTCTGATTAAATGATAGTTTCTCGTATCTATTTCAAGGTAGCTACATTATTTTCTACAAATATACATTGTGATGATAAAGAAAATATTTCGTTAGCATAGCAACAAAGAAGACCTATGAAGAGCGCCATTGTTAAGTTTCAAGTCAACAGGTCAAAACTGATTGTATTGCAATATCTGACGAAAAGCTCAAAATATTTCTGTCCGATATTGTCATTTGAATGCATTCGAACCATATCCGTGTTGGTCTTTCTCTTTCCCTTCTTTCCACCGGTCCCAAGTCCGAAAAAAGAAGGATATAGAAGTAGTACCTCTATGAAAAAAAAGCATTATTCAACTGACCCTGTGAGGGTCTCGGACTGTTATGGTCTAAGTCGAAGCAAAAACCAATAGTCCAAAAAACAGATGACGGGAAGGAAATCTCAACGATCTGAAGAGCAAATGAGCAACTTGCAAACTCAGGGATAGAATAGGGTCCGTAGTCCTGGAATACGGTCAGTCTAGGAGAAAAAACCTTGACGAAAAATCACTAAGATCTACTGCAGGTGACTTAAAGCATGCAGCTATCAAGTCCATATTCGAAAAAGAAACGGAAATGCTAACAGTCCTAGGAGTAGTAGCGAAAATCCTTCTAATATTATTATATCCAATTAAAAGGAGAGTATGTTGAATAATAATCATAATCAAAGAGAGTAAAATACAATGCTTGGCTCATATATTGATAGGTGAATGATATGAATTACTCTAAACCTCCCATCCGCAGAAATCTTTCATTCAGCAGTTTACAAAGTTGCAATTGTCATTTGGAACTCCAACCTTCGAAGTGAGATATAATACATTAAAATTGTAGTTTCAGTAATCCAACTACTTAATGTTAATAATTTACTATTTATAGTTGCCAGCAAATTATTGCAGAAAACTTTATCGTAAACTTATTACACAGTCATTTGTATTTGAGTGGTGTCGTTAAGTTTCAAGAGGTATCTAGCATAAACAAATAGTCCACAGATAAACACAAAGCTACTGCTACCTGCTTTTATCAGTAATCCCATCAAATCAAATAGAACCAACTTCATAATGACATGCAGACAATAAATTCTACAATAATTTAGTGGTGACTGTACTTGGACACACCAAATCACAAAATGTTCCTACCACCGTCCAGTCAGAGCTAAATATTGCCGTTTTAAGGGTATTTCTTTATCAGAGTATTGGACACTTTAACACTAACAACACAAGATAAGTGCTTTCTAGATGTTTTGATAACATCATATATAAGAAATATGTCACTATTTTGAATATTTCTTTTAAAAAACTATATTCCAAACAATGCAATACATGGAAAGATGAAATGTAGTACAGAAGTACGTGTGGTATATTTCTTATACGAAGTTTCAAAAAGAAAATTTCAAAAAGTTGTTAACGCATTGCAGTGAATAATCTCTTTAAGAAGAAGATGCAAGGACGGAAAGATGCTCCCGATCACGAACAAAGTCCAAAAGGTATTGAATACGATCAAGAATATCTCAAGAACACGCGAAAACGGCCTTAAACCAGACAATTAAGTATAGAGAATGTCTTATTTTATATGTTGAGTATTTTGCACTACATACAAATATGCAAACCATTAAGAGACAGCTAGGTGGACAGCGAGCACGTAGGATATCATCGGACTAGAAGATTTCAATGAAAGTCCAAATTCTTGAAAACACCCCACTGGTGTTATCAAGAAATGTGTCAATACAAATCAATATAAAGAATGTTTAGGAATTAGAAGAGAGAAAATGTGGGAGAAATCCGTTTTAAAGATGACAAAAAAGAGTGCAAGGTTAAAGAATTCTGCGTTCTCTGAATGGTTGGCATGTAGTGCCAATCATTCATAGATGCTATTTCCAGATCTAAAGCAGAGAAACATAACAACTCGAATATAAGCTGAACTTCTGACTATCTGAAAGATTAGGGATTTCAGTAGCTTGGCGGAAGAACGTCACGGTTCAAATAGAAAAAGGGACTAAATTATGGGAGCATTGTCCGAAAGTAGCGATATTAACAGGATAGACTCATATGTGTGGCTCTTTCTGCTCTTGTATGTAAGTATCTAAAGTATTTCTTTTTCTTCAATGACTTCATCCATTACGGACGTTGGTTATTAACACAAAGATTCGTATTTTATTAGCGACTTGTCTAAAACGATTTATATATGTCAGGTTAAACCACTTGCGTAGGTTTTATATCAGGGAGTGTCTTCGTCCCCCTGGACCTCTTCTAAAATTCGCCTTTCCTTAATGGATAGATTGTTGGGCGCAATACTAGAGAACGATTTCCGAAGTTGAAATTAAAAAGTCAATAAACTTACTTTAACCCTTAATTGTGGCTTATTCCCAGTTACATAGTAATTACTTTAAAATGACACAAGAAAATAGCTTCAGAACAATATTTGTTATGTCTCATCAGACGTTCAAGGTGTTGCAGCTTTCACTTCTTCAATGCAAACGTAATGTTTTGTTGCTTGACAATACTTTTCAAGATTTCCTAATTCGACATAACGTCGACATAACGAATTTGTCGATATAACCACTTTGCCAAGGCTTTTTCATTAGATGTTCTATCTTTATCATCGGGAATAATTAACATTTTAACAATCTTATTTTTAGTTGTAGCGAAAAAGACTAGTAAATATGTGCATCATCTTGATACTTGATCTCGTCTATTAAATTCTGGATTTGATCTATGTTTCATTTACCAATGAATACGAACGGTCATTCTCAAATATATTTGTTTTTTAACATGTTTCATAGGTTTTTGATTTAGGAAAAGTCTTCCCACTTCCAGAATTGTCAGTGACATTTTCCCTGGGGACCATGAGGAACCCCACCACTAAGACATATTCGGGACATAACGGCAGAAGACTGAACGTCAGTTTATGATATCGTGATACAAGTAAGTACCAAATTATTGCCATAACGACACAATGAATAAATTGATCGAAAAACTGATGGCGCTAGAAATCCCAATAATTCTATTCAGACCTAAAAATAACCAAATAAGATTGCAGGAAACATTCATAACAAATGTAAGAAATTAACATATAGGAGAACAAACCATAAGGACAAACACAAGAAACAAACAAATCTAAAAATATTAGGATATTTTAAAAATGGACATTTTGAATTTTTTCTGCATTTTCCTATTTGTTTGTATTCACATGATCAGACATGAAAATACATTCTAACCTACCTAAAATTAATAATGACAAAACTACGTTGCCTCTTCATACTTTTCATATTCATATTTATGTGAGATCAATACTTGTGCAAGATGTTAAAATGAATGTTTTAGAAAATGTTCTAGTTTTCTATTTGTATACAAACAATTTTGACGTATTTAAAATGTTTACGCATGTCAATTTACAATCTACTTTAAGTTGACGTCACGCTGTCATCTTTTGAGGTTAAGTCTGTTTTGATTTCAAATAACAGGTATTTTCGGTTGTCAAAATTTCTTTGAAGAGTACAGTCTACATTGTTGACTCTGAGAGAATATTGTGAAATTACCAACCAAATAATAGTTTTCTGAAGCTTGAAGTTTCTTACTTAAAGTATAGAAAGTATATACAAAAAAGGAAGTCAAATAAGAGCCAAATTTGAAGAAAAATTTATAATTATTTTTGATTTGATAGGTTAGGTGACTGCATGCTTTTGTTTTAAAACTTTCAAGTATCCTTTGATTCAAATTCAATTTATAAAGCTAGAAATATACAGTTGACATTTGGAAAATTTTGGTAAGTTACCTTCTTTAATAAGTGTTAAACTAAAAAAAAATGGGGGATTCGTCTGGGGGCGAGAAGCCCCCAGATATATTAAACGATAATGAAATGAAAGATGTGGAGAAAGAAATTAAAGAGTTAAAAAAAATAAATATGATAAAGATTCCAAATAGATACGACATATATGATAAGGGGCCATTTGAAGTATATATAGAAGCCAGGAAGGATCAGTTAAATGTTGGAAATTATAATTATTTAGCAATTGCAAGAGAAATCTTTGATTTACAACTAAATGATATCTTTAAGACTCACAAAAAGGGAATAAATAGAATTAGTGTGGAATTTAAAAACAGAAATGCAGCAAATAACTTTCTTCAAAATAATTTGCTAAAAGAAAAAGGTTATGATGTATTTATACCCAACAAAAATGTTACATGCAAGGGAATAATCCAATTTATAGACAAAAAATTTAGTGATGATGTCTTGCTAAAATACTCAGAACCAAATACTAAAAACTGTAAAATTATAAATGTGAAGAGATTTAAAATAAAAGTAAAGCCAGATAAGATTAATAATGATACATGTAGTAATAGTCAAGGAAGCGAGGAAACACCTGCAAGGGGAGATCGTGGTGAGGTGGTAAATTTAGTTCCAACTGGAACTGTTTGCTATACCTTCACTGGGACATCTTTGCCA